GTGAATTATGTATAAAAATTCTAAGTGTGTGTATGTGTAGTTTTCTATTAGAAGATTATGGAATGAGTCACCAACATATACGTGTTTTCTTTTTATAGAACAATGGTTCCCTGGTTTGGTGTCAGAATCACAAGCAATGTTCTAAGGTAAGTTTCTTTCAACTGTATTAATGATGTAAAAAAAAACAACAAAACCCTTAATTTTATAGTTATTATAGAGACGTTGCAAAGATACCACAGAGAAACAATATGTATCTAACCTCCACCAACGGTTATACTTTGAGTAATTGCTGAATAGTATCAAAAGCACAACATCCACACTGGTGCACTATATGCGTACAGATTCAGTTTATGTATCTACCACTGCCGTCAAGGTGCATGTCTCAAAAGTTCTACATGATGCTTCATTTTTCTCTTTGGTAATTTTGCGATAAAAAAATAAAATATAAAATGCCCAAGGATTTAACGCTTTCTACACCTAAGTTACTTTGTGTGCAGCGAGGTTTGCTTGTAGGAACTGCTGGTAAAATAATTTGATTCTTTATTTAAACAGTCTCCTTTCCATTCCTGAGTATTTGCTCACGCTAAACAGAGTGTGAACTTTTTTGCTATGTTCTTTCCTATGTTTAGTGGAATACGCTTCTTACCTCGGCCCCCAAACATCAATCTTTTTCTTTGGTACGTGTGTATAGACACGTACCCTCTTAGTGAAGTCCAAAGTAGGTTTCATAGGTTTCATAATCAGATTATGCAAATGAGTAAAGTTTACAACGTCTGCTAAAAATATCAGAGCAACTTGGGGAAAATGATAGTATATATGTGTTAAGATTTATTTCATGGACACTGAGTTTAGCCCTAAAATTGAAATACTCTTTTGTTTTATAATCAAAATTTAACTTAAGGAATCTATAATAATGTTGAAAGATTAAATTTATGAAGAACACTATTATTTTGAAAGGTCTTTCAAATACATAAATGATTGTAGAATAATATTCCTGAACCAAAAGCCCTGGTACAGTGATGTATTGCAACAACCGTGCAGTGTGTGCTTTAACACACGTGAATACTATTTAAAAATAAAACAGAATTCTTAGGGGGATGTGAAAGAATTGGGGGAGCATAAGTCTTTCTTACCTCTGACTGTCTAGATCTTGGGTGGAAATGAAGTGTCTGGTTACAGTCTGTGTACTCTTTTTATGTAATATCCTGAGCATTTGTTCTGATAAGACATTTTCCGGTATCAATTATATTTATTGTTCTTCAACTGGGATTTGGGGTAACTTGTTTATGTCATCACCACACACAGAGCGCAGAGTGCCATGGGGCTGACTACTAAAGTTCCTAAGTATTGTTTTTGTCCAATTTGGTTGGGTGTTTCGTGAATGATAACTTGCTGTGTCAGTATTACCCCGTATTTAAGTGCCCACTTTTTGTACATCCCACCAAGAAATAAATTAGCTTTTATAGACTTAAAAGGAATTTGAATGGAAGAGGTTCATTTGAACTATTTTTCAAATTATTGCAATGAAAGAAGTTTGTACCACCAGGGACCACCGATGGTCAAACCATATTTTGAGACTGAGTGATCAAGGTTGGCACAAGAGATTTTGAATTTCACAAGTAAAGAAATCAATCCCTTTTGCCTGAGAGCAAGAATGAATCAATAAGTACAGCCGACTGCAGCAGAAACTCTGGGATGTGTTACAAAGCCAACATAAGTTTAAAGGTGGTCTTAGTAACTTCGGATTTCCGGGGATGAACCTTCCATACTAATCGGAGTTTATCTCCTTTGGGTGTCATCACAACCGGATAGCTGTGCAGAAAAATTACAGTCTGTATTTCTATGGGGACTCCTGAAGTATTGTGTGGGTTTTCCTCTTAATCCTTAAGTTGATGAGGTTGATGATGAGCTGAGTAACTCCATTTCACGGATGGGAATATAAAGGCACGAACATATTTGATAATGCCTCGTAATCACTTTATGGATCAGCAGAGGTGCAGTTAGGTCTGCATCACTGTCCCCCAAATTGTATTACATACGGATCAACAACGTTAAAAACCATTTCAAACGAGTACCGGGACAGGGAGAGAAGGCGCAGAAGTAATGTACATGACACAATTTTCTGACTATGTATCTTCAAAGATAAGCTTTGCGTAATGCTGCCTGGAAAGCACACACTGGTCGTTTCTGGTGTCCATCGCAAAGCCTGTGGGCGCCACCCGCAGAATCCCTCCGGAACACATCCTGTCTGACTCCCCTTCCCCATCTCCTGTCTACCGTCCTCTCCTGCTTAGATGAGTCCAAGAGCTGCCTGAGGGTCTCCTGGCTTCTACTCTGGCTGCAAAGAGTCAAATGTGTGCGTGGTTGCTGGAATGATCCTTTAAAAAGATAAGCAGAATCCACTATCCACATTAAACCCGAGGATATATGATATTTCCAGCTTCCTCGGGCTAAAATCCCAAGTCTATCCTGAGTCTTCCAGACTCCTCGTCTGCCTGTGGTCTCTTCCCAGCCTTACCTCTGCGCACTCTGCCATTTTTTGCTTTTCTCCCTTTTCCAGAGAGACCCTCAGCTCTCCGTTTGGCCTCAGATGCACCTCAGTGCCTTCCCGGACCCCCCTCCACACACTTGCCACCTCCTTGGCCACACGACACCCTGACGTGTCATCACAGTGTCTCCATCTGCCAGGGTCTCCACCAGAAAAGAGGCTTCATGGAGACTCAGAGTCTGGCCTCTTTCTTCACTGGCACATATCCCTGGTCCAGACTGGTGTTTGGTGAATTGTAGCTGCTCCGTAGATACGTAAAATGAATGAATGAAACGCTTATCTTACATTTTTCTCCCTAAAATTACCTCTTGATTGCATTCTGTGTGTATGACTTAGCACGCGTATTTGCTGTTTACTGGGAAAATCTTCGCTTCTTTTCTTTATGAAATTCGATCATATACATCGAGTCATTTTTGTCACTCCCAACTAAAAGATGAGGGCCCAGTGGGAAGAAGCATTCAGAGCACACGACATTGCTCCAGAAATATAATTTTCTAGGGGCTTGGCTGCTGGAACCGCCTACTAGAACCTGGAAGCAGTTTTACCTAGTAGCAGTAAAACCACCTGCAATGATGCTAAGACTAGTTTCACCCAATCAGAGCTTGTCAACCCCCCCAAACCTTACTAGTGCCAATGAACTTCCATTCACTGTCATACATAGCATTTCTCCTTTTTAATAGAACCCCTATCCTGCTCTTTGTTCTTCAGGCTCACTGAGGACCACTTGGTCCATGTCTGTGGCCTGAATTCCAATTCTTCCTTCCCAAATACAACACGTTCCATTCTGAGGTTCCTCTCTGTGTTTTATTTGATGTAGACAGCATGCTGGGTTCAATGTGATGGAATGAGCACTATGAACTCAAGGGCCGTTAGTCCCTAAACAGTGCAGGAGAGCGATCTGCTGTCCAGCACAGGCCTGCAGTTCTCAACTGAGGGTGATTTTGCTCCTATAGGATCACTCGGCAATGACCGGAGACATTTTTGGTTGTTGTGAATGGGGGTGGGAAGTTACAGGCATCTGGTGGGTGGAGGCCACTCGTGCTGATAAACAGCCTGTCCTTCCTGGGACAGCACTTTTCCAAGGACAAAGTATTATCTATGTCAACAGTGCCAAGATCAAAGAACCCTGGTCTGTGCATATGGGGAGTTATACAAAGAAATTACAATGCAGTCTCATTCTCAGCAGGTCTGTCTTACTACATGAAGGTAAATAGATGTGTAAGTTACTAAGCTCAAGGTCTGTGCCCAACCCTGCCTCAATGGCCTGTTCCATTTAGGAATTCTGGTTTTCATCGTGACCTCTGTAGCATTGGTGAGATAGGAGAGGCCGCTCTTTGGCTCCTAATCTAGCCTCTCCACTTCTCTGATAATCAAAACCAAATTCCTCACCTGAGCACATTGCTACCTAGAGCTGAGATCTACATTTCCCCAAGCTCCCTTGCTGCTACCTATGGCCACCTGACTAACTTTTGCTTACATGCAAGTGGGATTGTTGTCATTAACTCTGAAGATGCATCTCTAAAGAGAATGATTTAACTAGGAAATAGACTCCTTTGCTCTTCCTCCTTTCTCTCCTCTGCTTCTTAGAGTGCATGGCAATGGCAGGAGCCTCAGCAGCTGTCTTGCACCATGAGGTATTTTTCAGGTTGGAAGCCAGTCTAAGAATAACCAATAAAAAATATAGGAGGAACCTGGGTTTTTGTTACCATGAACCCCCTACCCTGGCCTTGAACTTGTCATGTGGGAGGGAAATAACTTTCTGTCCTCTTAGTCACTGTCATTTTATATTTCCTTGATTATATGAAGATGAACTTGCATTTCAGTGAACCTTCTCTTGACCTAAACTTGGCATGAACATCTTGATTTAACTGACGCTCGGGAAAGTTGGGTGACTTTCTCACACAGTCGCTAAGATGTACAATACCGGAGATGGGGTTTGAATGGTATTCTGACTGAATTGGAAGCCAGTGATTTTCCCTTTGTCTACTCCACACATATTAAGTGTTCTAGAGAGATAATAATGATTATGAACAATCTCTTGCCCCGTTTAGTGGTTGATTCTCTTATGCTCAGGTTTTTTCCTGAGTCACACTTACAGCTGTTGGAAATCGTTTAACTCCCTGGCAAAATGTGGTCTGAATATAGCAAATGAGCTTTTTTCATTTTTATGTCCTGATTGATTATCCAGTGGGAAGTAAAGAACATAGCAGATGCCTGGAGAGATGGATTCCTTAGAAATCCTCCCATTAGGTGATTTTTTTTTTCATGTTAAAAGGATATAAGAATGTGGTTTTCCTGGGGCTAGTCCAAAATAAACTGCCTGCAAAGTTGACATCTAAGCTGAGTTTCAGTCTGTGATGATTAAGGCCAAACCTGTTAACTATACCAAATATATCCACAAATCATGCTTTTAGAATAAAGTACTTTTAGTACTTCTGTTTCAGTAGTAAATAATAATAAGATCATCTATTTCTAACCAAAAGGTAAATATGCCTTTGGCATAAAAGAGAATGCATTCCTCAGCTGGGTGCCATGTGTCTCACACCTGTATCTTTTTGTTGTTTTTATTATTAAATCATAGCTGTGTATGTTAATGCA